AGCTTTTGACCAGTGCTCATTAACCTGCAAACATCAGTCTTGAGAAATATTTGAGCGGTAGGTTGACGTGAATGAAGTACCTCACGCAGTGTGCTGAGGGTCTTTTCTGTCTCCTGCAACATTCGTGTATATGTGCTATACTGGGCCTGCAAGACCTCCTGATGGTTCTGGGAATGTGTGATAAGTTTACGTGAGGTGGTGCACTCATTTTGGGCCCGGTTCAGACGCAGAGTGAGACGCTCATTCTGCTCTTCTTCCTGTGTGATGGACTTTTTGTAGCCCTCAATCTCTGTGTCCAGAGAGCGCACCTGATCATTGGCCAACCTGGTGGAGGGACCATCAGCACAAATCAATACTGTTATTTGGATCATACACACACAGCAATCTTGAGCATTGTGTTCACCTCAGTTCCTCCTGCATGGCAGTGTAAGCCTCATCCCTCCTCCTCATCATTAACAGGCTGCTGTTCCATTGCTGGAGTAACTGCCTATGCTCAACAATCACAGAGTCCAATTCTAGCTGCGCCTATAGCACACACATAGCCACAGGTGACATATACAAATGTTATTTTTTGTAGCATATGCCTGGCAGGGTTGTACACCATTCAGAATTTAATTGAGAAGGCTTTTAAAATTCCAATTCAGTTTCTGAATCTCAAATGAATTTGAATGGAGGTAAAAAGTATGCAGAACTGAATCTTAATATATGGAAGTACAATCAAAATCAACTAAAATTATATATAACTGCATATAACTAACTGTAATTTAGTAACTAACTAACTGTAATGTAACACCAAGAGGAATTTCCTGTTCCTGTGGCTCAGTGGTAGAGCATTGCATTAGCAGCGCAAAAGGTCGTGGGTTCGATTCCCAGGGAACACACATACTGGTAAAAAATGTATAGCCTGAATGCACTGTAAGTCGTCTGCTAAATGCATAAATTAAATTTCCAAAGTTTAAATAAATGTAATACATTAAATAAGTTCTTAAATAAGAGTTCAAATGAAAGGTTTTATAGGCCTTCCAGACAAACAAACAATTTTGTTTTAAATGTCACCAGTTTGTACTTAATATATATACACTACAGTTCAAAACTGTGGGTCAGTCAGATTTTTTATTTGAAAAATTGAATACTTTTATTTAGCAAAGATTAATTAAACTGATCCATATTGTCAGTAAAGAAATGTATAATTTTACAAAAGATTTCTAATTCAAAGAAATGCTGTTCTTTGAACTTTCTATTCATCAAAGAATCCTGAAATAAATCCTGAACTATATTTTGAACGTTTATAATAATGAAAAATGTTTCTGGAGCACCAGATCAGCATAGAACATGATGTGGAAGACTGGAGTAATGGCTGCTGAAAATTCTGTTTTGCCAGTAAAGGAATAAATTACATAAAATGTGTAAAAATGGGGGGGGGGGAACTTATTTTAAATTGTAGTAATATTTCACAATATGACTGTTTTTACTGTATTTCTGATCAAATAAACTTGGTGAGCATAAGAATATTATTAATAATAATAAAATAAATAAATAAAATTTACCAGCCCTAAACTTTTGAGTGGTAGTGTAAATTTTCATTAAATTATACTTTATCTTTATCTATACTTTATCTAGAGTGGAAGAACAATTCATTTCTCAGAATTGTATTACTGATCGATGTCATGACATCAGTGATGAAATCTTATCTGGCTCCCTTTAATTCCAGAACCAATGGTACTAAATTAGCTAATTATGGACAAATATTGAAATTCACTCAAAAAGTAAGTAAGTCAGTACTGTTGCTCCTAATAATATTTAAATTTGATCATAACCAAAAATGTGATGTTTCAAGTGAAATGTGTTAGTTAAAAAAATCATAACTTTGAGTGTGAATGCGTCACTTGATCTTTTGTGGAGGTGTCTAACCTCAGAAAGAGCTTCCGTTGCAGCCTTTGTCTGCTCAGTCTGAGTGATGTTCTGAACTTCATACAGAGAGATCTGCTCTGAGAGCTTTTCCACATGCTTGGTCAAACGCTCAACATAAAGATCCTGACAGAGAGAAAGAACGAGAGATGCTTGAATGAACATATAACAGAGCTTCAATGAAATGGAAAGAATGCAGTATATATATATATATATATATATATATAGTAACTTTTATCACATTAAAGCAGAATAACTAGAATTTTCTGGTAAAAATAATTATATGAGAATGCATAAAGTGATCAATAGCAAAACACATTAAATGGAAATATTTGACCACAGTCATGTGCTCTAGAACTCCACCTGCTGGTGTTTATGCTCCTCTGCCTGAGTTCTCTCTTTCTGGGCTTTGTGTGAAGCATTTATTATGGCTTTGATGTCTGAGTGCAGGTCAGTATTGGCCTCCTGCATATAGAGCAACTTCAGGGCCAGGCTGTCCACTTTAGACTGTAAATCAGAGACTATAAAGAGAGCACAAATGTTTAAGGTAAGACAAACTGAGATTTAATTGCATTTAATTGACTTGTTGATTGTCTAAAGATGAAGTCTGCACTACAAGAATTGTAAAATAATGATTTTCAAATCATTTCTGCTATCTGCTATTGTTCAACAGGTAGTCCCCCCACAAACTGAAGCCACTGGTTGAGCTATTATTATTACTATGCTGGGCTGGTTGGGATAATATCTGGATAACAGGGTTTTACAGCGCCACAGAGTCACAATGTTTACAATTTTTGGGGTCAATCAGAAATTAGAACTAATGAACAATAGCAGCCCAAACACACCTGTGTTCAGTGTTCAGTATCTTAAAATGTGCCATTGGTTAGAGCAAAATTTTCTCTACTGTAATTGCATTCTTGTTCATAGCAGAGTTATTAATAACTAAAACTAAAAACCATATATTTTTGTTAACTGAAATAAAGTTGAAATAAAATATAAATGTTAGATGAAAAACAAGACTAAATCGAAATTAGAAAAGTTGCCTTGGCAAATAACTAAAATAAGTTTAAGTTGAAGCACTAAAATTACTAACTGGAAATAAATAAAAACTACAACTGAACTAAAACTAAAACTGAAATAAAATAAATCAAATTAAATAGTAATATTTAAACAACAACAACAATAATAAATAATAAATGACAAAAGCATAAAAAACACAAAGAGAAAACTACAAAAAAATAAAAACAATATACAAAAATAAAAGCTAATTTAAAATATTAATAAAAATAATAGTATATAAATAATACAAAATAACACTGGTTCATAGATCTTCTTTTCACCTTGCATACGTTGTTTGTTGGCCTGACTGGCAGTATCTCGGTACTGATTTTTTACCCCATCCAGCTGGTCTTGGGCCTGTCTTTGCTGAGAAGCAGCCTGTGCATTGGCCTCATGACTTGCCTCCAGAGAGGCCTGGAGTCTGGCCAACATCTCATGCACCATGTATACTTCTTCAGCAAGTTTGTGACGTTTCTGAGCCTCTCCCTTCTCCACTACTATCTGCAGCAGAACAGTAACAATCAGTTTCCGTATCCCTTGTTTTTATACAAGTGTGTGCATATATTTCCCGAAGTACAAAAGAAATTTGTCATTTCTGCCCAGTGTGCATGTGTAGCTATACAAAAATGGATCATATCAATAATTTGTAGAGGAAAGTACCAAGAGTCTTCACCAAGGTTTTTTTTCTTTTCTTTTTTCTATTACCTTCTCACGGAGCTCAAGGTTCAATCTCTCCAGCTGATTACTGAGGTTGTTTTTCAATGCAGACTGGAATCTTTTCATTAAAGGCTGATGGGAACAAAATGTAAAGAATAAAATGATGATGAATTATGGTATGATAATTTTTGTCTTTTTCTTTTTGCTTTGGCCAAAAAAAAATCTAGTTTACACACATGCTCAGGATCCAGCACTACAAGTTCTTCCTCTTCCTCATCTTCCTCTCTGACTCTGATCTCCAGCTGGAGGGAGTGCTGTCCACTAGTCCCAGAGCCTCTGTCATAATGGTCTGACTGCTCCATCGATTCCCGCTATGAATAAAATCATTAACAAACATTCATTCTACAGTAACGTACATTAAAACCAACTTAGTTCACGCTGCAAGCCCTGATCGCTGGTACAATGGGAAAACTAAAGCAAAAAGCTGTTTTTAACTCTGATATCATCTATATGATGAATGTCTTTAGTGTTTAGAGTTAAGCTGATACAAATGAAAGGTTCGTGTATGAATCTAGACCTCCTGAGGCTCAGTAAATTCATCAGGAACCTCTTCCTGCCTGTTTATCTCATCCTCCGGCAGACCTCCATCACACCCACCACCTTCCATCTCTTCATAATCAAAAATAAAGTAACAGTTACCGTAATTCAACACAGACACTAATACATTAACAGGACATTACAGAGTAATTGCATTTTAGATACTTTTAAATTATCACCTGTTTCTTTTATAGCCTGGTCCTGAGTGGCAGAGGGCTGTTGTGAAGCAATATTTCCTCAAAGTTATAAAAAGTTATCGTTCAATTTGCAATAATTTCTGGTATCACCATTTAGCAGCGCGAGACCTTCAGCGTTTCTTTTGCATCTCCGTTGCTAGGAGACGCCACACTTCCGGATTCGCTGCTCTTTATAAATGATACAATCAATCTGGGGGGAAAATCTCAAACAGCAAGATATAAAACATAGTAGAGTTCTTTTAAATTATTATTTTTTATCTTCATTGTAACTTCGTTGTTATCTTGTTTGTTTACCTTTTTTGAAAAATCTTTAAGGCTATATTTACCTCCCACACAGTAGGTGGCAGTGTTGTGCTTTCAACTGGCTTTAGAGAGCGCGAAGAAAGCTGAGCTCAAGAGGTAGTGCGCACTTAGTATGAAGACGGAATGGATACAAAGAAATTAACATAGTGAGCTTGATCAATCATTACACTCCTGTCGGTCAGTATTTTTAAACCAGTTAAATTACTTGCTCTCTATCATGCATGGAAACGCCACATGTTTAGATTCGTATTACGTTCGTGTTAACAGTCCAGTGTTTCATTAATAGCTGAGCTGACATGGGTGGATATGCCATTCAATTCTAACAAAAAATACCAAAAAGAATAATACCATAATAGTACATGATGTGTCGTAGTATTATGACCATGAAAAGCAGTTTCATGACCTGTAACGTTACCGTAGTATTTTAGAATTACTTTGCAAAGTACCATGTAAATATCATGTACATGAACATGAGATTCATTCAGCAAATCCAGGGATCCTATATAAAATTACTATTTTTGAGTGCAGTCTCTTCTGTTTTTGTGAATTTCCAGAAGAGATGAAGGTTAAAATAAAGCAGTGGAATGGTGTGGCATCCTGGTTGTGGGTAGCCAACGATGAGAACTGCGGCATCTGCAGAGCGCCTTTTAACGGCTGCTGCCCAGATTGTGGGTAACCTGGTTTCACTTTACCTACACTGCCACCTGTGCCTTTTTGTGTGTGCCATTTTGTCATGAAATCCTGTTGATGTTTTAGTTTAAATTGTTTTGTGTAGTTGAACAAAATGTATTCAAAATGAAATGTACTCTCTGGTTTTAACAGGTAAGGTCCCAGGAGATGATTGCCCTTTGGTTTGGGGTCAGTGCTCTCACTGTTTCCACATGCACTGCATCCTGAAGTGGCTGAACTCTCAGCAAGTGCAGCAGCAGTGCCCAATGTGCCGTCAGGAGTGGAAGTTTAAAGAGTGAGCTCGCCGTCAGGCAACAGCACAACACCTGGATTTTCACTGTGAACTCTTTACATATTCTTAAAAATGATTTTTGGACAACTTCTATCTCAGTAATGAATGTTTTTTTTTTTCCAGGGGAGACACTTCCTGAAGAGATTAAATAAGTTCACACTCTCAGATTGATTCTTCTGTATGTTTTTTATACAATAGTATATTTTACATCCTACAAATGTAGTTTTGTGATTAAATATCCCACAAAATGAAAATATTTTTTAAAAAGACATGGTATGGTTTTGTACAAAGTAGCTGGCATTACAGATAAAATGACTGCATTTTGCAGTCCAAGGGACAGTCATTTTAAATTATGAACACAGTACAGAATGTCACAGGACACTTACAATGGTATGCGCTTGTGCATATCTTAAATAATTGACATGAAATTCCCACAATTTAAAATATTTTAAAATTGAATCAACTCTTTTGCACTCATGCCTTCTTTTGCCCACATGTCTATATTTCAGTGTTTTCAGTAACAATATATACATTATTCGGAGGAATGGTGCTACATGAATATAATATTTTATATATCAGGATTAAAACAAGGTTGGAGGAAAGTTGAACCACTGACTCAAATTGCCCCACAACCACCATTTCTGTGTTTGCAAATCATAAAAATGGTTAATTCAAATTGTAAACTTGGATTAAAAAACTTAAAATATATAGCACATTTCCCCATATGCTTCCCTCAATCACAGACAGCTAGATATGACTGGCCACTTCCTGAATTTATTCACATAAAAGAAATTCAAACAAGTCTCTAGATATGAGGTTCAGTACTTTACCTATGAGCAAATCTTACTCCAATCTTTTCATTTTCTTGCAACATGGAATAACTACTGAAAAAATAGTAAAAAAAAAATTCATTTTGTTTAGTTTCTGTTTTAGTTTATTTTGTTGGTTTGATGTTAAAAATCATAGATCAAAAAGACTTGCTTTTTGACATGTACGTTTTGATGTGTTTTTAAATTAGCATAGTGTGCTGTAGGGATGACATATTTTTGTAGGTCAAATCCTGGAAATGAGTTTCTCGTTTTCATTGTCCTCAAGTCAATGGGTATTTGGTTAAATGCCTGAAATAGGATAACCCATGCTCAAGCATTTTCTACAACATAAAATACATCATCAGTATTTTATGTTGTAGAAAATTGTGATTGTTTTTTTTTAAATGTGCTAACATATGGCTAAAGGAGGATTTCGGGGTCATTAAATGTCTCAATGGGAAACAGGAACAAGAAACACTGAACAGGATATCTACTCTACATATAAATTGTGTTAATTTGTGAAAATTATCATTATGAACAAAACAACGTAATAATAACTTTTGTTAGTCTCAGAGCTTGTTTTCTGCAATAATCCAAAAACCAATAGATAAATCCAGGCATTTGTCACCTACAAAAATACATAATCACTGCAGCACTCCATGGGCAAATTCCAAATGGCTTTTTTGTGACCTTGAAGGCCACTTCGGGAAGGGGGCGCCATTTGTAGGGAAGTTCCAAACAAAAGTGAACAACTGAATTGAAGGGCCCTTCCAGAAGTCCCTTAGCGAAGGGAACATGCAATGGTCACTTTACTCATTTCACGAAAGTGATTCTTGTGATCTTCTGTTAGAGGAGATCTTGCGATGCATTTTAAAGTTGGGGTTGATTCAAACTTCACATACAAACATAAGTAGAATAGGCGAATTAAATTTGTCTTTATTTTAATGTAATACAAATCATTTTTTGCCAGTGATAGAAATATGATTTAAGACGGTAGTGTAAGCAAGTTTAGTTTAAAAAAGTTTAATAGTAAATAAGACACAATTAGACAATATTTGAATGAAATAATAATAAGAAAAAATCTTTATTTGCAACAACTGATTGAGTGCTGAATGCTGCATACACATGCAGCGTTTGGCATTTGGACAGTCATTTCCTTTGCCAAGAGAGTTCCAAATGCTTATATGAGATAGTAATGCCCTGCACCCTTCAAAGAACACTTCAAGGGCTCTGCCCTTCGAAGGGAGTAGGGCATAGGGATGCTCACTTCCGTTTGGAATTCGCCCTATATGAAATCAAAGACTAGAATACCCAAGACATGTCACTCGTATAGTTTTGAATGGGGAAAAATGCTACACTCAATATGGCCGCTCTATCGAACGAAGCCACGCCTTCTGAGGAAAAGAGCCAATCGCTAATCGGTAAAGTCAGCGCGTCACTGCAGCTGCCGTTAGAAGTCCCGGTTGCTATAGAAACAGTCAACACTCTGAGACGTGCGTCGTGCGCCTAGGACTGCGCATGCGCATTGGCTGGTCTAGCTTGAGAAATAAGCTTTTTTTAAACGCTATTTGAGCAAAATAAACAACACTTATGATACAGTTGTTGTCAGATTTCATTGGTGATTTCAAATATGAAATTTAATCGTAAGCTTTGCGAACAGTTTTGGAGAATTTGATGATTCCCCATTCAAAGAGATAGGAGTTGCACTTGCATGCCTGAGAGGCATTTCAAAGATGGCCGCCGAGTGACATGACTTGCCTTAAAGGGACTTTGATGAAATGCAATGGAGATTATAAGAACATATTTAAAGCAGCAACATTTGTCCTTAAATACAGGACAAAGTCATTATCAGTGAACAACTTTGATCATTTAAAAAAGATTAGGGATCGGCAAATAAATGTCCTGAATAACATCAGTGCACTAGGCAAGAAATGTATGCTGTATTAGTCTGTATGCTGGATAAATCCAATCGTTTCATAAAGACTTTTTGGGGTCTTGTGTGTTTTTCCTTTTCACATCATTCAAGTCCACTGGTGTAAAAGCTGAAGAGTAGAAACAAACAGTTAAGAGAGCATGCATGCATTTTCAACATCATATTTCAGCTAAGTCTTTAGAAAAATTATCAGTTTTCATTCATTTGGTTTTTTAAGAAAAATAAGGCAAGATAAGGGAACAACTGTTCAAACAGCTTTGCCAAAATATTTCAACCAATATTTATTATTTATCACTCTTATGTTCCTTCAACAACAAAATACAATCCTCAGGTTAAATTAAGTCGCTTTGGATAAAAGCGTCTGCTAAATGACTAAATGTAAATCAACCAGTTGAACATACAGTTTAGTGCAGGGTTTGGTGTCCTCTCCACATATTTCTGAGGTCCCTGGTTATTGTTTTCATTTCCCTGGCAAGTCTGCATTTCTCTCATGACACGCTGCCAAGCTGTTGGAGGAAGAGTTGATGTTATAGAAAACTCTAATTCCCCTTCAAAAAAACTTCTCATACAAATAGGATATTTTGATGGGTCTCTGACATTTGAAAATATTTCTTATGAGGCAACGTACTGTAATGAATGAATCGCACATTTTCCTCATGTGCTGGTGTGAGTAGTTCCTCAGTGTTGGTTGGGGAAGAGGCTCCAGTTGTCTGTTTGTAATTCTGAACCATTTTTAAAGATGGAGAGCTGCCAACAACACTGTCAAAATCCAACAGTTTACTATTGCCAAACGCCACAGTTTACTATTATTAAATCAAATTTAAAACACTTAAAAGACAGACCCACTGTGAAAGATCCTATTGTTAAATGGACAACTAGAGTTAATTACCTGACTATTTGTGTGCTCCCTAGGAAGTGTCAAAGCACAAAATGAGGCGGTTAAAACCTGAAATGTAGCAACAGCTTTTAGAGCTGGTCAGTTGTTTACGTGCTGCCATCTAGATTACATATAAATCTTATCTTCAGGACTTGTTTATTCAATATTTTTAATACTAGCTACTCAGTTCAAACTATACCAGCCAACTAGCTCGGTATCTAAACTACGCCGAACGTAGTTTAAGGTCAGTCTCACAAACAAACACTAATTTGCCGTTATATAGCACTGAAATAGCAAATGCGTTTTTATATTTTCCCATAACATAACGACATATTTTCGCAAATGATACCCGGCTAGCTTGGCAAGCTAACGTCAAAAAACAGAAACCCTCCACACAAAAAAAAAAACACAACAGAGCTCGATGCATGAACCAGGGATCAATATAACGTGACTAATATATTACGATTAATGTTACTAAAACTTTTGCGCATTTGAGACTTACAATGTGGCGTTGAAATCCTTTGTCCCAGCCAAAAAGACACTTGTCAAAACAACGTACACTGCTATTATGTTCAGCGGTGTCTAGCACAATCAGTTCAGTGATGTCAGATTGGAGAATGAATCATTCTGTTGAATCGGATCTTTTCAATGGATCACAAAAAATCGGTTCGCCATCAACATGTGAATTGCCACATTTAACCCGGAACTGTCTCTTGCAGACATGTCTGAGTCGTAAATGAGCTGAGATCCAATGAGTGAACTGACAGTAAGACTAATTGGAATTTACCGAAAAATGTTCAATGGGTCGAAAAGTAAATTTAGTACTTAAATTGCTGGCTTTGTTTTCTATAAGCGGAATCACGCATGTAACCGTACAAGAATCACTGAATATGTTTATTGATCCGTTTATCACGTGTTTCAAAAGAACCGATTCGAGGAAACGACTTCATACAGTACAGCACATTCGCGATTCGTTCAGCAGAGCACATCCTCGGTTAACTGTCAAACGTGTTCGTGCCTTTCAGAAGGATTTTTACATTTCTACGAAACTTATGTCATTCAATAACAAGTGCCATACAATAATATGTCATTCAATAACAAGTGCCATACAATAATATGTCATTCAATAACAAGTGCCATACAATAATATGTCATTCAATAACAAGTGCCATACAATAATATGTCATTCAATAACAAGTGGCATACAATTGTTTGATTTTACATTGAAAAGGAAATAAACAGTGCTAGAATTCTTTTTAAAAAAAAGATCAATTGCATAATAACTTAGTCTGAAGCCTATTATGTATTATTATTTTATGTATATTGTGTGAGGAGCTATAGACACAGACAACAGCTAAAATAAAACAGACAGCATTGTTTTTATGTATATATAAAAACATTTAATTCAGGCATGTATGAAATTAAGACTTTCTGTACAGTGTCAAGTTTTATATGTAAATTGATTTTAAAAAAATCACATACAATCACGAGCTATTTATCAAATTCTCATTAGTGCATTGATCTGCTACTTAAAAATCATGTTTCAAAATAGAAAGCGTTAACAAATTAACACAGAAAAGCTGTTGTGACTGTCATTAGCATACAGCACGAACACACTGCATTGTCAACACTGGAAGAGTTCCTTCCTGCAGAGGCAAGTGCAACTCACATCCTATCACTGTCATTGGTCCAAATGCGCAGGACCAGACAATTATAAACGGACACTCTGTCAAGGTGTCTCAACTACCAGCTCCACTGCATACACAGTGCCTGTTTAACTCATTTTCTGGCTTTATCCCTTTAACGTGGCAACTGCCATAAAAGAAGAAAGTAATAATCAGAACTTCAATGTCAGGCAAGTTCAGGCACCACCGACCCCAAAGAGTTCAAGAAACTCTTTGCTGTCTGGGTCAATGAGGTCAATGGGTTTCTCCCCACAGTCATTTTCAGCCTCAGTGTCTGCACCCAAAGAAAGCAAATACCTGAAACAAAAATAAAAACTTTCTTTAAATCTTTCACCAGTTTCTTGACAGATTTGTTTTCAATAATCATGCACATTTTAGAGATCAAAGAATACAGCTGGTAAATGCTCTATTTCTTTCTTTCTTTCTTTCTTTCTTTCTGTTTTTGTAAGTCTTCTTTGCTGAAGCACTATGCTTTTCAGAGAACTATTAAAAAAATAGAAATCACAACTAAAGGCTTGTCTTTATTTTCCTTTTCTATAAATAGTAATCATCTATTAAATGTCCAGGTCTAATTTGTGTTTACCAAAGTCCAAATAATACATTAAATTAAGAAAATTGCTTACTTAGCTATTTCTGGAAAGCCATCACTACAGGCCATATGGAGGGCAGTCCATCCGTCCTCGTCCCTCTGGGTGATGTCAGCCCCAAGTTTTACCAGAAGCTTCACACACTCCAGGTAACAAAAAGAACGACTTCATTCAACAATTCGTCTCCTTCACGTCACCCTACAGTATAGCGCCATTTTGGAGAGTATCACATACATAAACAACATATGCTGTTCTGTGTCAACAGCACCGTATGTGGATACGCTGTTTACGCTTTGATCTGAACGTAAACAACGTATCCGCGTACATGCGTTGCATACATTGTTCACATATATGGTACTCTCCAACATTTTTAGATTTTCGATTGTATTGAGAATTGTGAAATTTTGCCAGTCTCTAAAAAGCAGATATCATAACCTTATTTACAGAAAATATATGTTTGATATATGCTATATGACACTTTTGATTAGGGGTGCTCCGATTGATCGGCAACCGATCACTATCGGCCGATAATCACGTTGGGATGATTGATCGGCTCCTCTAAAAACACAGATCTCCAAAAACCGATCTCAAGTTGATGACGCTGCTGTGAGAGTTTTGGCACGACATGCAGCGTCACCATCTCAGTCTCTGTCAGGCGCGGGTGAAATCATTATAATGCTGAAGGTGAGGTACTCACCTTCATATTTCTTCATTAAATAACTTATAAAGTAATTTGAAAACCTCGTTTGAGACGTAATTTCACAAACAGCGTGAGTGAATCACCGCGCGCGCTCTCTCTCTTTCTCTCTCAAAATACGCAATTGGCTTCAAACCACCACACATCGCG